AAAGCAGAAGTATCTGGCTTAATACGTATCGGCAGAGCAGGGTTAAAATACCGTAGGACTAGTGCCTTCTAAAATAGTAACTTTATTTCCTCGAACGCAGACTAGGCCTGCTAGGAAAGTATAAGGACCCTAGTATAGCCCCCTGTGAGGCCCCCTTTAAGATAGTCTATAAGAGGGGCGGCCACCTTAGAGTAGTGCTTAATAAAACGTCTGTAAAAACCCGTGAAGCCTAGGAAGACCTATATCTTCTTAACACTATTAGAGAGTTCCTAATCGCGGATAGCTTTAACGCGGGATAAGTCTATACGTACCCTATCTAGACTATAGATAAAACTAAGGAACTCTATATCTCTAGTCTTAAATTCGCACTTATCGGGGTTAGTATACAGGGACTACTGCCTAAGCCTTATAAGGACCTCGCGGACGTGCACGCGGTGGGTGGCTAGGTCTTTGCTATAGATAAGAATATTATCCAGATAGACTATATAGACTGTGTCGATAAGACGCGTTAGCGCCTGGTTAATATACTGCTAGAAGCTTACGGGCGCGTTAGTTAGCCCGAATAGCATAACGAGATACTCGTAGTAGCCGTATTTTATACGGAACGCTATCTTCCACTCGTCCCCAGCTCGTATATAGAGCCGATAGTATATATCCTTAAGATCCAGCTTAGTATAGTACTACGCCGATAATAACCGATCTAGGATTTCGTGGATTAGGGGCAGGGGGGTACGGTCCTTAACTATCACCTTATTCAATCCCCTATAGTCGACACATAAACGTAGCTTACCACCTTTCTTAGGGATAAACAGAATAAGGGCGCCGGCCGGACTAGTGGATAGTCTAATCCACTCTTTCGTAACGGTATCCTATAGATACTAGCGTAGTACCTTAAGTTCTTATACGGCGAGGGGGTAAATAGGACCGTAGGGGGGCTTCTTCCCTTCCTCGACCTTAATAGTATAATCCCACTGCTAATACGTCGGTAGCCTCCCGGCGTTCTTAACGTTAAAAACGTTAGCGAAATCTTAATACTGTTTCGGTAGCGTGCTAGCGGGTACCCCGGCTTCTAAGGATTTATCTCTATATCCCACTAAAGGGTTTTCTGCTAGGCTAATATAGCCGATACGTGGGGCCCGCGTAGAACCTATATAGGTTAGAGTAAGGATAGACTTAGCTTATCTGACTACTCTATGTAGTTCTTTTAGTGACGTGACTATACTAAGCTCCGCGTAGGATAAAGAATAGGTCTACGTACTATACTGCTAATTAACGTTAGGGTTAGCGGCTATAAGCCACGGTCTTCCCAGGATTATACGGGCGCCCTAGGGATTAAGCCGTATAACGTGGAACTCGGCGCGCTATACTCTTTTCCGACCTTAGTAGTCGGTGGTAGTGATAATCCTATAGAAGGACCTAAGGGTTATCTTCGTTTATCCTTCTATAATCCAGGACACCGGGATCGGGGACCCCTCGGGGACCTAACTAGGTCCTAGGAGGGACTAATCCAGCACGTTAATATCAGCGCCTCCGTCTAGGAGGGCCGACGTCTACACCTATTCCCTGCCTCGGCGAAGGGATATACGTGCCTCTACTAGTATAGTAGTACGGGCTATCCGAGGCGGGTATAGTTCTTGGGTACCTCGCCCGTAATACGGCCGACCGTGGGGCGGGATATAGACACCGGTTAGGTATTCGGGTTACTATTACTTATACTCGAACGCTACGTCCGGGGGCTAGGGCACGTAGTGGCGTAGTGTCCCTTTTAGTTATAATTATAGTAAGTGATAGAGTCGAGGTGCGATAACGGTCTAGGGCGTATAGGGTAACTAGGAGTAGAGACTAGTATAGGTGTAGGGGCAGATATAGGGGTAAGGCGTAGGGGCATTAGTGGAACTATAGGTGGCCGTCTATATACCCTGTCCTAGGGCACGCGAACGAAAACGACGTTATTAGGTATTAGACTAGAAGTCTACTCGAGCGACGGCTAGCCCGTCGTTAACGGTTAAAGCTTTAGCCCTACATTAGGCTAGGGCTAGATCCTAGTAGTCCTTAGAGACCCCTATAAATACTATATAGTCCCGAATAGGTGGGAGGACTCTTACTAGTATTATCTAAATCCTCCACTAGTCTAGGAGCTCGCCCGGTAATTCCGACTCTAGGACTTCCCACCATTATATAAATTTAGCGTAAAATTCCCCCTCTCTTTAGGAGGAGATAGACTCGCTCTGGATCTATACCGCTACCTCCTATAGGCGGGTATCGTTATTATTAACCTGGCGGGATAGCCAGGCTTATAGGGCGGCCTAGCTAACCCTATTAGAGTCGCTATTGTACTTATATCGTAGTTTAGCCTGCTAGCGTTCCTTAAGGTAATAGGAGAGGCACGATATAACGAAGTAGTTCTTCGTAGCGTCCGTGGGGAAGGACTAAAAATCTAGGTTAAACCGCTGATTCGTCTCCTAAATAAACATACGATACTTAGCCTAGGATATACTATCCCACTTAGGCAGGGGAAAATTAAACTTAGCCTAGGTGGCGGATCCGTGTGTAGAAGACGTTATGGATATATCGTGGGTATACTAGGATCCTATTACGGCTACGATAATACGACGTCGAGGTTTAGCTATATAATAGTAGGTAATATCGGCCCGGTAGGAATCGATAGTAGGATTAATAGAGGCGGTAGCGGTAGTAGCGACGGTAGCAGTATCCGCCTTAAGCTTAGTAAGATAAGCGAGCTTACGCTTATAGTGGTTCTATACCTCTATCCATTTAACGCGTTCGTCTAGTTATTTATCCGTTAGTATAGCTGGGTTAACGTCTACGTGTAGGGGCAGATTAGGATCCTATACGGGTCCTATAGTGACCGTGGTCTAAGAAACGGGGACGGTGATAGGGGTAGAGGCGGTAGTAAAGGTAGTATTAGCGATAGGAGTAGGTGTAGGGGTAGGAACGGGAACGGGTGTAAGGGTAGAGGCGGTAGCAGAAACGGGAGCCGTGTTAGTTCCCGACGTATTCCCGTCGTGTTCCTCGTTAGCGTCCTCTATAAAGGCGGGTTCGCTATCGCGGAGCTATCGCTTAAACTGGTTAGTAGCCTTATTAAAATCGAAAGTAGGATCGTTTATTTCGTGATAGTTAGATATCTTAGTGACTCTCCTTAACGGTCTTCGCGCCCTTAGAGGGTAGAGCGATTAAAATGTTAAATAGGTAGTCGTAAAGAGTGAAAAGGTAGGGTTAAGTAAGGAACCAGGTATAATGATAATAGGATTACGATAGGAAAGTGTAGGGGTAGCTAAAGAATCAGATTAATCGCTGGCCTCCCTCTTCTAAGGGGAGGCTCCTCCGCTCCTTAAGACTATACTCCGCTACTCCTCGAGGACTGCTTTATTTACTTCCTCGAGGGCTGACTTATTTGCTTCGAGGGACTATTTTATTTACTAGTATAATGACTGCTTTATTTATGCCTCGAGGGGTCTTAGACTGGGCACGCCTGGACCCCTATGGGTTCACACTAGGGACCTATTATGACCACTGCTGCAGACACCTGACATTTAATCTCTTACTTCTAAGCTATATTATAGCTGTTCTACTACACCTATATTAAAACTATTAATAGAATATTAGTACTAGACTTTTAATCTATCTAGGAATTTATTTTTATAATATATACTATTTTATTAAATAAAATAGCAGGGGTCTAACAAGCAGTATTTTGGTGTAAATGGTGTCCGGAATAGTATCGTGTCCCGGAAGGTGGGGTGGGGACTTAGTCTTGTTCTTGCAGATTGCCATCTCAGTTTGAAACGAGAAACATGTGGTGAGGGGGAACCCGGGTTCTTGGCAGCAGTTCGGGATATGGGGTCGAAAGGCGGGGGGCCCGGTTTTGTCTGGATGGTCTGGGCATCAACATCGCACCGGATAATGTAGCCACCAAAGTCGGAACATGGACGGTTTGGGAATAGCACACCTCGTGCTAAGTTCTTCGCACTTGATATTGCACGTGTACACTACAACGTACGCTACAAGGGGGTAGGCGCGCTTACAACGCATGCGGCATACCTGTATGTACAACGTACGGAGTAGGTATAAACGTACCGTTTGTATGTCGGGGCGGAAGAAGCGCATGTGTGGAGAGAACTAGGATACCCATGGCAATAATGCTTCATATTATTATAAGCCTATTGCCCCAACACTTTCTCTACAACGTAATGACCTCCCTCTCACATTCCCTCTCGCGCTGGCCCTCCCGCTTCGTGCTTCGTCTCTCGCTTCGTCTCTCGCTTCCTCTCCCGCTTCCTCTCTCGCGCTAGCTAATGCATGAGTGAGCCAACGCTCAGCAACGCTACACGGCATGCATACTGTTTCTAGGTCCCGGTTCCTCTTCTGTTCCTGCCTGCATTTGAGCATGTGGCGCCGCCACTGAACTAACTTCCACGCCAAAGCGGCCTCGGTTAGCCACGCTTAGTACCAGATAGTTCGCACCATAGCCCCCATAACGCATCACTCACAGTACATAGGCTAAATCATTTTCAGGTGCATCAGAGCATCAGAGTGCTCGGTAAATCAGGTGGCTGTCAACTTCGCTCTCGACGAAAACCCCCCCACCCTCCAGAGATAAGACAGCCCTCTAATTGATTAGCGGCGGAGTAAACCGACAGTCTGGGCGCCCTATTAATATGTGCATGTACCTGCTTTTAGGGCCCGCGTACTCAGGTTTCGATGGTTTGCGCATTCCGGTCGTTTTTCGCTCGAGGTTGCCCCCTCCATGATCTTCGCTGGCGCGCAAACTCTGTATCGCCCGTGAGAGTCATCGACGTTGGCCGACACAGTCGCGGTAGAAGTCATCATAGAAAAGTCACCCATCCCGGAGCAGGATAATTCACGGTTTCTCCTTCATTGGAACTCCGAACGACAGACAACTCTCCCCGCCTTGCGCTGAGAGACGGAAATCTCGAGCGCAGTTTGGATAGGAGAGCTGGGTTGGCAGCAGCAGCAGCATGGCATCCCAAATCCCGGCCGGTGCCGAAGGCACGGTCGTGGGGGTCATGTTCTATTGTGTCGTCTGCCTGATTTGCAGTTGTCTGATGGTCTGGTTGACGTGGACGCACGAAGAACGGACAAGCCGTAAGTCCTATATGTTACTTTTCCCGCTCATGAAGGAGGTCTCTGGCTAAACCGGTGGCGGGTTGGCGGGTTGGTTGATCTAGACGTTGCGATGCTTGCCTATTTCGTTACAATTAGCATCGTCGCTTCTCTCACCCAACAGACCTACGACATCGTTCGATATAACCACATCGTCAGCGAGCAGTTCTGGAATAGAAAACAGCATCCCGATAACCCGGAGGTCGCCATCTCGAACGGTTCAGTAGGACTGAGTCTTGTCTTGTACTACATACGTCAGTTTATATCCACCCGGAACTGTCGTTCTCATCATCTCTTTCTCGCACGGGAACTCACCAGCAGCGCCGAACAGAATATTACTGCTACAGCGTCGAGTCAATGATTATCATGTTCTGGTGTGTTTCCCTTCTCTCACCCCCCGCAATTACATTGCGTTCCCACTCAATGGTTCGGCCAAAGCTCACATTCGTTTCGTTTTTCGATGCAACAGGGCCGCTGCTCTCGCTCAGTCGGTCTACGGATTGTCGTCTCTTCCAAAGTTCAAGGTCATTCTTCCCCGAATCAACCGGGGCGGCAAGATCTTCGCCATGCTCTTCCCCCTGACTACGATTCTCCTCTTGCGCATTCCCGCCGTGCAAGACAACTTTATCATCTTCATCTTGTTGGCCGACCTGCCCCGTACGTACAACGTTGCCTCGTGGGTTTTTTTTTGGCTTGTTTTCTTGTTGACTTACCAAACCAAATAGTGATGCTCAGCTTGTTCTTTGGCCTCATCCTCATGTTACTCATCCTGGCAAGATACGTGCATTCGAAGCGAAAGTTCCTGAACTGGACCAACGGCGTCGGCGGGTCGGGTAGCAATGGATCCGCCCTCAATAGCAACACGCCGCAAGGGTTTCCGCAGAAGAAGAAAAGTCGGAGTATATACGATCGATGGCTCCTCGTGCGCTTCACCATCGGATTTGTTGCCCTCAGGTATGCCACAACCACAACCCTCTTCCCCTTTCCGTCCTCTCTGGGGACGGCTCATTACGAGAAGTCCACCTTTCTTTTCTTTTCTTTTTTTTCTGGTTTTTTTTCTTTTTTTTTTCTTTTTTTTCTTTTTTTTTTTCTTTTTTTGAGAACCCAGCGTTTGACTGACAAAAGAAAATCTGGCAAACCCGCAGCATTTTCGAGGTGACGAATACTCTCTTCCAAATCACCGCCATCACCAACAAGGACAATGACGTTGAAGCCACCGAGCCCGATCTTTCCGCCGAACGGGCCAAGAGCTCATGGATCTTCTTCATGCCCGGCGTAACACCGGGCCTGTTCATCTTCATAGTCTTCGGCACAACGACGCCGCTGCGCCGGTACATGTACGAGAAGTTCGTGCCTAAGAGGTGGCAGCGGAGGTCCGACGACCGACCGAGGCGGATGGATTCGAGCCCGGACTACACAGACGATGTGGGGCCCCCCGTGCCGCCAAAACCGCCCCAGCTTTCGCCAGGGTTGGAACGCAAGATAATAATAAGCCGCCCCCAGCAGGCTTTACCGGCGGACATTGGGAGAGGTCGGTCAAAGCAAGCTGTGGTCGTGAGAGAGAGGGAAAGCAGCGACGAATTCCCTATGCTGCCTATAAGAAAGACTCATGGGAGGTACGATGTGTAGTTGGAGATTAGTCAGGAATGTGGTAATATATTAGTCATTACATTTTGTTAAAGTATTCCTCCTTCTGTACGAGTCCCTACCTAAGGTAAGGTACCTTATTCCCTTATTCTTCACATACGAATACGAGTACGTGTAAATCTACGTGCAACTTCTCATGCCACCATCGAAGCAACCCAAGCCGCCGCATCATCCGCATCCTCCTGGTAATTCGTATGTTCGGGCGTGATGATGATACCTCCGTCGCAGATGCGATCGCCCTCATGACAAATAACCTTGACCTTGTCGGCAGGGATCTTGGCAACTGTGCGCTTGCTGAACGGGTCTCCGAATGTGAGCACTGTATGGAAGTGTATGGTTAATGCAAGGTGACCAGCGGCGGGCAGGGAGCGAAGGGTATGTATCAGAGGGGAGGGACGTCTTACCAGCCGTGACTCTGTCCGCATCGGCTTGCGACAGTAGACCCGCAGCCTTATGAACGATCTGTGCACCCTGGCTGTATCCCGACAAGACAATCTTGGTGTCCGGACAAATTGCAGCTGCCTATCATGGGAGGAAGGGGCGTGGGGGGCGGAAGAGATAAAGCGGTCAGCAAGAAACGAACTACGACGTACGACGCCTGTCGCGCAGCAAAAGGAGGAGAGGTGGGAACCTATGCTGCATGCAGCAGCCGCGCAATCTATCTGTCGGTCTATCGGTCTGTCTACTTACATGCTTGACATGGTTGGCCATGCTTCTGCTGCCCGGGCCATCACCACCGAATAGGAAGCCGAGAATGTTGGCGGCATACGTGATGCCCTGGACGGCCAGGTTCTCCTCGCCGATTCTCGAGGCCAGGGCGTTAAAGAACAGCGGGCCCACGGCAGCCGGGTCCCCGACGTTGCCCTGCTGGCCAGTGCCGCGGCCGTAAATCACGGTAACGTTCCGGCAGGGCGTGCCATCGGTCAGCTGGTTGAACGTGTCGCCGGCGTACTGTCGTGGGACGACCGGGGCCGATGCTACGGTCGAGATGACGCTAGCCAGGGAGATCAAGACGGCGAAGACCTTCATTGTGAGAGAGAGATCGGATGGGACGAGCGGTGTGGCTGGGTGTTTGTTTGTCCTTTCCCTTAGATCATTAGTAGATCACGTCGCTATTAGTACTTGTCGTCTCTCGGGTGTCGAGGGACCGGGAACCGCAATTGGCTCTACGGAGACGTAGTTCAGCGGTTGGCAACTGGTCAGGGTAGCAAGGTGGGCGGGGTGAGGCAAAAGACAGTTCACGTTCGTCCGGCACAAGATGAGAAAGGCCGTTATTATACTTGTAGGCTTTTATTTTTCCTCTTCTCTTCTCTTCTCCCCTCCCCCTCGACCCCCCCTTCTTCTTCCAGCAAGTCATTCTTCGTCGGCGGAGCACTAATTAATGCTAGCTCGCCTAGACAATCGCTGAGACGGGCATCTATCTGCCACCCCGCGCCCCGTCAGGGGTCTCTCGTTTTCAGGGAGGGCCCACGGACAAGATTCCATGTCGACTGTCAAGTTCAGGTGAAGGGATAACGACGGCAAAGTCCTTTAAACGATGTACAAGTCGGAAACCTGGAAACCACAACGGTGTGAGAGCTGCAAGAGTCTTCTTTTCCAGTTACCGTTAGGGTTGTGTTCTCCGGTGCAACCTGCCAAATAAAGGGTGTCATCCCGTCCAAGAGTTCTGGCGAAACGAACTATTGCATTTCTAAGACTGGGTAAAGACAGTCCGACCAGCCATCGGGCTCAGTCTTATACCCTCCTAAACCCGGGTAGGTGGTTATTTACCTGCATACAACGTCCTTCGTAGGACTTCGTAATATCGTGCAGGTTTATTGCCTCCTTGTTCTTGTTTTCGCGAGTACTTTGTAATACAACGTGGGCGCCGCAGCGCGCAGTCGGTACACGCTTCATGGCTAGACTGTACGGCTACCTGTAGTGTTCGGCCAAAGACAAAGTCTGGGTAATAAGCCGCGTCTGCGCTTTGACCTTGGGGACAGCCCACACGGGCGACATTAGTCCCTGAACCCACGAGCCGGAGCCTTGTGATACGTAGTGCATATTCTGCAAGGGGCAGAGCCGTGACAGGAATCGACCGCCGACAAGCCACACTCCCATAAATCCACTTACAGCGCAACGACGAACCGACGAACTCGGCCTGTGTCCATTTCCCCCTCCGTCCGTGCATCAATGCGCCGGATCCTTTACAGCGCAGTTTCCAAAGATAAAGATGGATCAAGACAGCTTACGTAGTTTGTTGGGTATGTACATTGAATAATGAAGGAGTCTAAATCCATGGTTATGGGGGTTGCTTGATAAAGATTTACCGCGTAGAGCAGCAAATGCGCAAAATTACCTGGAAATCAACTACCTACCCATAACCTGACCACGACTCGCAACACATCTCGGTACTGCTACCAGTGGAAAAGAGGCAGTCGAAACACAGCACAAGGCATTCAAGGTGGTCATGTTTCGGCAACTCATTGACAAGATTCGTTGCTAAAATATGCATGTGGAAACGGAATGTGTACCAAAAGTCTGCTACCACCAACACTATTCGTAAAAGGGTAGGAACGGGCCGCAGAGTCGTCTGTTGTTGTTTGTTATTTTCAACTCGGGTCAACGATCAGGTATGAAACGCTGACTTGCCAGTCCAGTAATGCCTCCTCTATGCTATCCCGCGACAGCTCATCTTTCCTAGGTACCACATTGGCGTTTGGTGCTCTGTGATAACAGCTCCAAAGCCGTAAATATACCGAGATGCCTGCATCAACGGACCTGGCTAGGCGGCAGACGCAGTCCCTTTTGCATCGAACAGAGATTCCGCGTCGGTCCCGGGCTTTACCATCCCTTTGTATCGAACCAATGGCAATCCCCCTTTCCATTCCACTCGCGCCAGCATAACCTAGAACCGTGGAGGGAACCAATCCGAATCGACTATACGTAGCCCTTACGCGCGCCCTGGAAGAAAAATCGGACAACGAAGACCTGCAGGGCTCCCATCAAAGCAATGAGGATGCATTGAATCATGCTGAAATTGATAATCCTGGCCTCGGTGCTTCGGACAGTGGCGAAGTTGCGATTTTCCCTCGTGCGAAAGTATTTCTGGCCCCTGGAGATGGTAGAGAGTCTGCTGGAGAGCTTGAAGACGGACTCCTCGAGTACAGATGTTTGTTCGGGTGTGCTACCTTGCTTCGAGGGCAGTTCGGCACGCTTCTCGTTCTCAACCTATGCCAACCAACCATTAGGGTAAATTCAGAGGACAACAGCGGTAGGAGTAGTGGGCCGGGGCAGGGGGGGAGGCATACTGCGATTTCAAAGTCGACGAATTTCTCGGCAAAGGTACTCATTTCATTGTTGAAGCAGAACTCGTATTCGCCTTGCTGTTGGGCAGTGAATACGTAATCACCTTGCCTCTCCTTTTCGCCGTCGAGGATGACCTTTCCACCGGGGCCTGTCACGATATAATCGACATCGAACGCTCCACCCGATTGGACCTAGTGCACAAGAAGCATTAGCTACCCTGGACGAGCACGTAGAGATAGATGCCGCCTGTGCTAACTCACAGCGAAATAGAAAGCAATCTTCTCCTCGGGCTTGACAGTGGTGGTGTAGAAGCACGCCTTTTCTTGCGCGCCGAGCTTGTACGTCAGAGCCGTCGCCGCCACTTGGTTGACAAGACAGGCAAGAAGCCCGCAGGCGAAAGCGGTCAGCTTCATGGTTGTCAATGTCCAGGTATCATGTGTTGATCGGTGGTCTCTTATGAGGTGGAAACCAAGAATAATTCCAGCTTCTTCCGAGGCAACATGAAGGGGCCACGGTCGCGTGTACAGTGATACATTCCATGTGTATCAGGGAGGTTCGTCCGGCAAATAATTTATCCGAACATCAGTCGTTCTGGGCGTCTGATCTTCTGCCGGCTCCACTTCCTGTACAGGCAGTTACGTCGAACCTGGTGCAGCCCGATGGGTCAGATACGTGATTAGTAATCAATAAACTGGAATCAATCGCCCCAGCCGCCGATATGGTCGGTGTCGGTTAGATCCTATCATCACCTTCAACATTACGAACTACTACAACGCAGCGACTGGCGCACTCCTTTACTCACATACAACGAGGTCATTTGGCGCGCCACTCAGCACTCCCAATCTCTTCGGCGACCCAGCTTTCTAGCATAATCGACGAACGCTTCCCCCCAATTGCCCGGGAGGCCGCTGCATCTTCGCGCCACCGCCACCATGCCAAAAGCCGAGGCCGGTTCGCTCAAAGCGCTCAACTCGCGCATGAAGGCCAAAGGCCTGCAGCGACTGCGCTGGTACTGTCAAATATGTTCCAAGCAATGCCGTTGCGAGAACTCTTTCAAGCAGCACTGCCTGAGCGAGTCGCATACCCGACAAATGCTCATCGTAGGCGAAGACCCGAAGAAGTACATCGAGGAGTTCAGCAACAAGTTCCTTCGGGACTTCCTACAGCAGCTGCGGACGAGCCACGGCGAGAAGCAAGTTCAGATCAACCAGTTCTACCAGACGTACATCGCGGACAAGGAGCACACCCATATGAACGCCACCAAATGGCCGAGTCTCACTGAGTTTGCCAAATACCTCGGCCGCGAGGGCATCTGCCGGGTCGAGGAGACCGAGAAGGGAATACACATCGCGTGGGTCGACAAGTCTCCCGAGGCGCTACGGAGACAGGAAGCCCTCAGGCGGAAAGAAGCGCAGGACAGGGGCAACGAAGAGGTCGAACAGATGCTCATCCGAGAACAGATCGAGAGAGCGCGGAAAGCAGAACAAGCGAAGGGGGACAAGGCGAAAGAGGAAGAGAAAGACCGCGTGTTGAATAGGCAAGAGGGGGACAAGATTACGCTTTCCTTTGGCGCAAAGACAACGACTCCCACAAACCCGAATGCCGGCTCATCCAAGAACGCGGAGGGCCAAGAACAGCCAGCAGTGGACAAACCGCAGAGCGCTTCCAACAGGCCTGGACTGGGCGGGGGGTTGTCCCTCAAGGCGGTGGCCAAACCGCAGACCAAAAACGTGTTTGCGGCGGCCAAAAAGAACGCGCTCGCTGGCGGGGCCGGCACACCAAAGGGCACCAGCGCCTTCGAGCCACCGAAGAAAATGAGCGAGACCGAGAGGATAATGAAAGAAGACATGGAACGGATGGAGAGGAAGCGGGCAAGGGAAACGTCCGGATCAGGGGCACCTTCCTGGAAGAAGCAGAAGACCTGATCGGTAGGTGTAACATTGGTTTTTGTAGCATAACTTTTTAGGCTGCGGGCGTTCCTTTTTTTTCTCCTTTGGGCGTGGACAGAAGGCAATGTCAAAACGAACATGGTGAGCATGATAGATACCATTTTGCAAGATTCCTACGAATTTATCATTGCGCCTTGTCCTCGACGCCCTCGCTTTGTGCACGGGTACATCCCCCAACGCCCTGGTGAAAAAGAAAAAAAAAAAAGCAGCGTAATCAACCGGATATCGTCCTCTCTATGTCGTCCTCTCTATGTCGTCCTCTCTATGCACCCTCTTCCTGTTCGCTACCATCCCTCCTGCTGCAGGGTTAGTACGCGTGGCAACCCTGGCGAGATGGGAAGGCGAATTGGATATTACTTACGGGATATATCTCACTCCCGATTCCTCCTCAAGGGCAGTTCGTATCTCGTCCGGCAGCTGCCCAGACACCTTGGTCGCGTAGACTCCCCTGACGTACCCGTCTAGCCGCTGCCACTTTGCGACCCATGATCGCGATGGGTCGACGAGAGTGATCAGACCTTCGAATACCTGGGAGGTACAGCTCTCGATTTGGTCGGGTGAGCCTGCGAGGTGGAGGAACTCTTCGCAATTCGGGCAGCCTTCTTCTCGGAATCGCTGGAACGTTACGTGATGAACGGGTCAGCGATCGCGTCCTGTACTTTCCGGGCTTGGAGAGGTGGCAAGGGAGCTAGGTGGTCGTTCATACTGCAGTTGTCATGACAATGGAGCAAACCATGCAAGCACGGAGGAAGCGCTGCTGATTTGGTGCGGCGTAGTTATCGGCCATGATGGGCTGTGGAGACCGCTTCGGGTTCTGGCTTCGTAGGCTGTGGTCCCGAGAGGGCGTTGTGGCAACCGATACGTTCGTTTATACGTAGGAGAGGCTGCAGTGGCAGTATCGTTAACAATCAAGAATTCTTCTACCTCCATAAGGTAGGTAGAAGAATAAGGCTAAGGTAGGTACCTAACCTATAATCCAGATGTTAGGGTCTGATGGTTGTCGAATAGACCATAGTCTTTTCGATTACGTAACGGGGCCGGATTGCTATGAGTATAATCCGGGTAGACGCTTATAGAATCTGCACTATATAAAATACGGTGGTAGCGTTTCCCTGGCGGTCTAACACAGTTATAATTATATATAATTACCTTAATTAATTTTAACCATCAGATGCCTATAGCCACCTTATCGAGGTATAATAAACTATATTATGCTAGACGTGTGGAATACCTCGCTCCTATATATCCACGCTTATTTCCCCTGCTTTTTCAGTATAGTTAGATATCCCCGTAAAGTATTATAAACTTTACTTACATAAATACATATATAATTCCGCGTACCTTATTTATATTCTAATAGTTATAAGCCCGGTGTTCTAATAAACAAAGCTATTCCGATCGATTCTATAGCTTCTAGGCTATTAAAATCCGCTTTAAGTCTATCGTAGGTAGTTTAGTTTTATTAGTAATATCCGCCTGCTTTTATTTTATTTAATCGATTTATTATTTCTATTATACCACCGTTTAAAGCGTTTAGTATAGTTAATTAACCTTTTCCTTTATTCTATTTAACTGCTTTTTATTAGTATAATAATAACTTCCACGGTAGTAGTGCCTGTTATAGGCCTCGTAACGCTTACTGCTCTAAAAGACTAGAGGCCTTGGATTAAAGCCGTGATAACTATCGCGCACTCCTATAATCTCGCTAACCTTATTAATCCCGATCTCAAAGAGGCTAAACGGCCTAAGCGCCGTATTCGAACCGATCCACTATAACCTCCTACTATAGCTAAAGAACGTAACGCTACTAATTAGGATATACTATTTAAGATCTAGTAGGTGAAAGAGGATCGGTATAAGGCTAAAAAAAGGGGGATTTAAGCACTCTATAACTATATCGCGAACACGGTTAGCCCTGCTTTAAAGGATTAGTACGCCGGTAAAAAGGAAGTTAGGGATATCCTGTATACCCTTAAGACGCACCTTGAGCTAATAAACGCCGCCTAGAAGTCACTGATTAAGCGATATTAGGAGGAATATATATAAAATATTAGGTAAATACCCTATAAGCAATAGCTAGAGGACTTTCTTAAGCTATGCCGGGATACTAAGACGTATAAGGTTAATGCCTATAATACTAAGGACGATTAAATTAACGGCTTCTTTAACGCTATTAGGAGCGTTATACTTAAATAGTCTAAGGGTAAATTTATATACCTTATAACGCTTAAGGAAAAGGACCTACCTTCGATATAGTTTATTATAGAGTAGTATATAACGTGGCTTTAACGCTATTACCTATACCGACTTAATAAGAAGCCTACAGTATTATCCTTTTATACGGTAACCTTCCTAGGTAAGGATAAAGAAGGTAAGGATTAACAAGTATAATCGGGATAATAGGGTAACTAACCGTCTAACGAATAGAAGAACGAGTGGTTATACGACTACCGTATTAAGAAGAGGAGTAAGTATAATTATAAGCCCTTATAGAAGTGCCTAAACGTTAACAAGGTATATAGGAAGAAAGGATATATACCTTTAAAAGAGATCTTAGAACGCGTTAACCATATTATTAAGACCTAGGATAATAAGCGTTAAAAGAGATCCCGGGAAAATATCGAAAAGAACGCTAAAAGCCTAAAAATGAGTGCTAAAAAGGACTCTTAGAAGTTATAGCCGAAAGAATCGTTAACAGAGGTATTTAATTTTATTAATAACTAGGATAATGATTTAGATAAGGAATCCTATAGGATGTATTCCTTTCTGTAGCTAAACGGTAACGTTAGCAGTAACCTCTTTAATTAACTACTAATCGACTCCGGCACCTCGAGGTATATTACTAACTAACGACACTTACTATAGGACTTCGAACCTGCTATAAAAGAGTATCGTTTTTGAACGGGTAATAGAGAAACTAAGCTAGTTAAGGGCTATAGCAGGATATAATTAGAAGTGGACGACGAATATAGTAATCCCTTTATTTTAGTGCTAAATCGCGTTACTTTTATATAAGACTACCTAATGACCTTAATCGCGACTAGAAGATTAAAGGAATAGGATATTGTTTTTAATTCCGGCCTTGAAGTACTGAAAATAGCCTCTAGAGAGGGCTTATTAGCCCACCCTCTTAATAACGTTAACGATTAATAGATCCTTGTTCTAACGGATCGCTAATAGCACCTACTAAGCAGCTTCTTTAATAGCTCCACGACGCTTACTATAAGTGTGGCTCACGCTTATTTATAGCACGAGAGGCTAGGGTATACCGGCGCTACTGCCCTCGAAAAGATAGGGAACGCCCTCGCCGGTAGCGTTATTAAAGGAAAAGGTCCTCTTATGGTAGACTATAAGGCTTACGCCCTTAGTAAGGTTAGGAGGCTAGTATCGAGGAGGCTAACTATATACCGGCCGATAAGGCCGTGGTAGAGGGTAGAGGTTAATTTCTTTAGCCATAATAAGGCCTATAACGGTATAAAGATTACTACCCTATTTTTCGATTTATATATATACTAGATCGTTATTAAACTTCTGCGTAACGCTTAATCAGCACTCTAGATAATAGCGAATTTTGAGTTATTCCTATAGCGATAATATAGCCTAAAGATTACTATAATCGGTCTAGATAGAGAAAGATCCTTTTAGAAAGGCCTTAACGAGTAGGCTAAAGAACGGGATATCTTACTAGAAAGGTCTATACCGTACACGGCTACCTAAAATCCTCGAGTAGAACGCCACGGTAGCGTCGTCTTTACTATCGCGAGGACCTTCGTAACGGCCTTAGGTATTTAATAGGATATATGGCCAGAGATCCTTATTACTATAATATATCTGTATAACCTTATTCCTTATAAGGACCTTAAGTGGAAGTCTTTAAAAGAATAAATAGAGGATTAAATTAATGAATAAGGCCTAAAGAAGATCCTTACGAAGCTAATCGTTAGCTACTTAAAAAGGTATAGTTATAGAGCGTATTCTTTAACCGCTAACTACTAATAAGGTCGTAAACTTAACGCTAAGTTAGCCGAAAGAGTATATATCGGCTATTTAATCGGTTATGAACGCACTAATATATACCGGATTTAGGTGTTAGAATTAGGGAGGATTCTGCGTATAAGAGACGTTACCTTTAACGAAAAACTCTTATATAAAGATCGCGATATATAGTCGCCGGTTACCGAAGAGGCCTTCGAGTAATTAAACATGCTAGTGGATTATTAACTCTACGATCCTCTCGCTACTACTACTAACGTTAGCGATTATCTGCTTTAACTACTACTAGAGTAGAATACTATAAGGGAGGCCATAGCGGAGGCTACTATTACTGTTACTGCTAGTGCTTCTAGGGGGGTGGATAGAAGTATAGGTTTAATAACCACTACAGAATCTGCAGAAGAATAATAATAGTAGGAAGATTAACCTGCTAATTAGGAGGCACGTGGAATAGGGTAAATAAGCCCTATAACGCCGTATATGCCTCCGGCGGCACCTGCTTTAACGTCTTCTACAACTACACCTATAATTATACCCCTAACAGCACCTATATTCCCTCCTCTAATAACTATAAACAGTCCTCCTACACCACTAACCGGAACTACGGATCTACCGCCTATTTTTAAACAAGCTAACAAGGGTAACGATGCCGAAGATCAATCTAACGATACGGCCGTAACTGGCGATATCGTCGCGATAGGATTATTATCCCCTAATTAATCGGTTCTTAACGAGGAACTAACCACTGCCGCCGCCGTTAATCCGGTATCTACGGCTCCTGCTATGGCAGAGCCACCTGCTATAGCTAAGTCTCCTTAAATCTCTTTTTCCACTGCTATAGCTAACTAACCTGCTTCTATAAGCAGAAGAAACCGCCCTCCTATTATTCCGACAGCCGCTACCGACCGGCGTACCCGTAGTAGGCGTCTAACCGACCGTTATACCCCTCCTTCCTTTTATACCTTCTATAACTAGATTAAGATACCGAAGAAGCCGCTGCTACGCCGCGATATACCTAAGGAGCCTCTAAACTAGTCTTAAATACTAAAAAGTTCCCATAAATTAGAATAGATTAAGGCCGCCTTATAGGAGGTCGGTATGCTTAGGTTAATAGGCACCTTTAAACGGTGGGAATAGTCCCACTAGCAAGAATATAGCTCGAGACTATCTAAATTAGTTCTAAGGCCACTAGACCTTAAATAGGTTTTTAAGTATAAGGTCGATCCTACTAGTTACGTTAATAAGTTTAAGGCATACCTATACATTTAAGGGGATTAATAACTAAATAACTACCTTAACGCCTACGCCTCTACCCTCGCTAGAAGGACCTTTAGGTCCCTAGTAGGTATTATAGCCTACTTTAATCTCGAGACTCGGTAACTTAACGCCCTTAACGTATTTACTAATACCCTGCTTAACGAAGAGATCTATATTAAGGACCCTCCTAGTTAGTAGTTGCTCTAGTCGGCTACGGGCCTTTAAGCTTATAAATAGCTCGAGGACCTTTTTAAGTAACGCCCTCCTATATAATGTAGAGGGATTTAACGGCTACGCCGGGCGTTATATAGTCTACGGCGTTCCCTAAAGCTATAGCACTAATAGCTCTTTTCCGTACTAGGTAAGTGCGGTTTAAAGTAATTAACCGAAGACGATTACGTCTTTAAGAACGAGGTCCTGATTACTTTCTTTTACGTTAACGATATTATCCTGATCTACTATAAGGAATATTAATCTGCTACAAATAACCTAGTATAGTAGATATAGAAGAGCTTCTAAATCAGGGATCTAGGACTACTTAAGTGGTTTCTTAGAATCCGCATAGGACGCGATCGTTAATAGCGTAAGCTATAGTTATCGCTTAATAACTATATCACCAATAGGATAAAGGCGTTATAGGTGGATTATAGAGATTATAGGGTTAAAAGCCCTCTTCTTTATCCTGACGTTCTATAGCCTGCCGACTAATAAGC